GGCTGGGGGATTCTGGGAGCTGAAGTCCAGGCAGACTAAAGCAGGCAAGCCGGAGGAATTCTGGGAGCTGAAGTCCAGGCAGACTAAAGCAGGCAGGCTGGGGGATTCTGGGAGCTGAAGTCCAGGCAGACTAAAGCAGGCAGGCTGGGGGATTCTGGGAGTTGAAGTCCAGGCAGACTAAAGCAGGCAGGCTGGGGGATTCTGGGTGTTGAAGTCCAGGCAGACTAAAGCAGGCAGGCTGGGGGATTCTGGGAGTTGAAGTCCAGGCAGACTAAAGCAGGCAGGCCGGAGGAATTCTGGGAGTTGAAGTCCACCCCCTCTTAAACTTGTTGAAGTTGAGAAACATTGTGTTGGAGCCGATCCTTGAGTGACCAGTCCAGCCTATGAGGAATTGCAATTTCCCAATTAGAACAATTAACCAGTGGAACTGCCTGCCACCAGACACTGTGGGTGCTCCAACTCTGGAGGTTTTGAAGAACAGATTGGACAGCTGCCTGTCTGGAATGGGATAGGGTCTCAGGGGGTTGGACTAGCAGACCTCCGAGGTCTCTTCTGTAGAACGCACCGAAGTTGGAGAGGGCATTCTGGGAAATTTAAAGCAAACCCCTCCCCCATCCCTTTTTAAGTCGGTGCAGAATTTCTATCCCCATGGAAACCAAAGATTGTGATGTGCCAAGGATGCACCCTTTGTGCAAGCGGCGTTTTTTTTTTTTTTGCTTGCCACTCACGTTGGAAACACACACATCACAGCCATCTGCTCCGTTGCGGTCATCTCACAATTTCCTGCCTCCGTCAGTGGTTGGAAACAATTTCCGCCCAGCGTTGTGCAGAAACCCTCCCCATCCAAGCGCGCAACAACACAACTTGCGAGGCCCCGCGAAACCTTGAAAGCAGCGACAAAATGAGGGGTGGCGGTGGGTTGGAAAACTGGCGTAGATAACAGATAACCAGAGTCGGAAGGGACCTTGTAGGTCATCTAGTCCAACCCAACCCCCCACCCAAGCAGGAGACCCTACATCCTATTCCTGACCAATGGCAGTCCAGCCTCTCCTTGAAAGTCTCAAGCGACGGCGCTCCCACAGCTTCCGACTACCCACGCGAGGTCTCCTGTCTTGAGCGGGGGGGGGGGGGGGACAAGATGACCTCTAAGGCCCCTTTCCCCCCCCCCCCCCCCGGGGATTATTCTGTGGATCTCACAGGTACACCCCCCACTCCCAGCCAATGCAGTCATGAAAAAGAACCAAAGGGTCTCTTCTCTCTCCAACTTGGCCCTTTCTAAACCAGTTGGTTTTCATCGGCCATCGTCCTACCTTAGCCAGGCTACAATCAGGCTGCTGGGGAGGATGGGATTTGTAGGTCTGGCGACATTTGGGAAGGCAGAGGACCTCCCTAAGCCTCTTGCCAAAGACTGCCTTCCCAATATTGGTAGGCTTTGAACTACAAATCCCATCGTGTTGGGGGCCTATCTGAGCAGAGGGGGTTTTCTGGCAGACGTTTCGTGACCCAACTAGGGAATGTCTTCAGTGCTAGAAGGGAGTTTGTGAAAGAGGAGGAGGAGGAGGAGGAGGAAGAAGAGGAGGAGGAGGAGGAGGAAGAGGAAGAAGAGGAGGAGGAGGAGTTGGAGGGGGAGGAGGAGGAAGAGGAAGGGAGGGAGGGAGGGAAGGAAAGGGACTATGGGGCCTTTGGCGCTCTCTGACTTCGATGGTTTAATTCCAGACCTTTTATGACCCAATCGGAGAACGTCATCAGCGCTAGAAGGGAGGTGGGTTTGCAGAGGGGAACAAGGGGGGGAGGAGGAAGGGGGAGGAGGAAAAGGACTGTGGGGTCTCTCAGCTTCTTCGTTTTCCTTGCGGACGTTTCATGGCCCAACTGGGGAACATCACCAGTTCTACCGGGAGGGGGTGTTTGCTCCCGACTTATATTATCCCATCCTCCACAGCATCCCGGCTAGCTGAAGGCGACGGGTCCCTGTGGAACCTGGCCCCTTTTTTAAGCCAAGATGGCTGCCTGTCAGCCCTCCCCCCACCCTGCCACCCCCCCCCCCCCTCATCCCCCCCCCCCCCCCCCGCCCACCCCCCCCCCCCCCCCCCCCCTACCCCCCCCCCCCCCCCCCGTCTGAAAATCAGAATCAAGAACGAGAAGTGAAGCCACATCCGGAGAGAGAAATTGAACCCAAAACTGCAGGAAATGCTAAGAAAAAGAGAGAGAGAAAAAAATACCCTCCTGCAAAAACGAAAAAGCAGAGTCACGCATAGGTGTGTGTGGGGGGAGGAACCCTGTACCCCCAAACAAGAGGGGGTGCAGCCCCCCCCCCGCACCCTCCCCCCGGTGAGCTTGGCAGGACATGGAAACGCTGAGAGAGAGAAAATCGGGCAGAAGGAACAACGTGGAAAAAAATATATGACTTTTTGGAAACGATTTCTCACATCCTTGGCAAACTTCGGAACGGAAATATATTGCTTTTTTTTTTTCGGCCTTGGCATGGCGGGGATGGCGCTCCCAGCTTCCCTCAACCATCATCCCCTGCCCGATGGAGGTCCGCTGCTTCCTGGCAGGGGATGATGGGCCCTGGAGCGCGCCTCAACCGAAGGAGGGGGAGATTTCTTCCTCCCTTTAAGAAGCCCACAAACTAGTCATGACGGCTACGAAACCGAAACCAGAAATGGCGTAGTAGGGTCTCCCGCTTGGGCAAGGGGGTTGGACTAGATGACCTCCGAGGTCCCCTGATTATCTGCTATCTGAAACAGCCGGTCTCCATCCCTTGGGGATGCCCGAGCGGAAGTGGAAAATGTTGGGGTAATCATTTTGTCTGAAGTGGTGTAGGGTTTCCTGCCGAGGCAGGGGGTTGGACTAGATGGCCTCCAAAGTCCCTTCCAACTGTTCTATTCTATTCTAAAAACTGAAGCTTATCCTCACGTAAAATTCAGGCAGCCCTTGACTTACAACGGCTCGTTTAGTGACTGAAGTTGCACTGAACAAAGGGACTTTGGGGGGCCGTTTTTCACCCTTACGGATGTTATAGCCTCCTTCGGATGCCTGGCCACCGACTCACGGTTATGGCTGCCGTAAGTCGAGGACCACCTGGTGCAAATCAAAATAAAGAGAGCAGGGAAAATAAAGGAGGATTAAAAGAAAAAGAGGGAAGGATACAAAAGGGAAAGAAAGAAAAATTTCATTTCCAACTTTTCTTCGCTGCAATAAAAGCCCAAACCAGATTAAAACCTCAATTTTTTTCCCCTATGTATTTTTTTCCACGTTTATAGCAGAAATGAGTCATTTTTTGGAAACCGCCGGATAATCTGATCCAAATATTCAAAATTCACATTTCCACCCCCACCTCCACCCTCTGTTTCAAACACCAAAGTCCCAGAACCAGACGGGACTGTGATTAAAACAGATTACGGGGTGATCCTCTATTTACAGCCGTTCATTCAGCGAAGGATACGACAGCTCGGGGGGGGCGGGGGGGGGCGGGCGGGCAACAAGTTACGACCATTCTTTGCACTTACAACCTTGGATGCGTCCACCTGGTTCCACGATCCAAAATTCAGACGCTCGGCAGCGGACTGCTGGTCCATATAACCTCTTAAACAGAATCGGAAGGGGCCTGTGAGGTCATTTAGTCCAACCCTCCGCCCAAGCAGACCCTACATCGTTTTTGACAGATGGTAGTCCAAGTCTCTCCTTGGAAGAAGCCTCCAGGGATGAAGCTCCCAGAAAACCTTCCATCAACAACAAGAACCATCCTTAACAAGAGCTGGAAGGGACCTTGTAGGTCATCTAGCCCAACCCCGCCCACCCAAGTGGGAGATCCTCCACCATTTCTGACAGAGGGCGGTCCGGTCTCTTCTTGGAAGCCTCCAGGGATGAAGCTCCCACAACCTCCATCGACAACAAGGTCCCTCATGAAGAGATTAATAGAGCGGGAAGGGACCTTGTAGGTCATCTAGCCGAACCCCCTGCCTAAGCAGGAGAACCTATACCATTTTTGACTATCTACGACGGGGGCAGCCTCCCCTTTTGCGACCTGGAGTCAAACGGGGGAAGCTGGATTCACTTAACAACCGTGTGACTCGCTTAAGCAACGGCATTGAGAAAGGTTCTGTCAATGGGGCGAAAAAAAAGAGAAAAAATCCACTCGGAACCGACTTCTCGCTTTAGCGACAGAAACATTGGGCACCCATGGTGGTCATTAAGTCGAGGACCGCCTGTCATTTGGCTATCCACATCCTTTCCCCCCCCCCCCGTGCTCGGGGCTCCGTTCTTCCGTTCTTGTGAAAATTGACCTACACAACAACGGGGAGGTTGCAACAGGGCAGATGGGGCAGAATTCAGGACAGAGTTCTGAGTAGTTGTGTTTGCGTGTGGGTGTGCGTGTGCGTGCGTGCGACAGGAAGCCACAGGCCGTTCTGCAAGCGGGGCCCCGTAACAAGCAAGCTCATTTCTCACCCACCCACCCGCAGACCAGTCCGGTTTTTCCGGCCTCGCTGTGGCCAGAAATACGTTTGTTTTGCAAAGGACAAATTTTAAAAAAAACAACAACAACGAACCAACAAACAAACAAACAAAACCCAGTTTGCACGACAAGCCAGCCCAGGGTGGAAAACCATGGTTTGTGCGCGCCTCCAAACCAACCAGCCGATTCTCACGCTAACACACACACACACACACACACACACACACACACACACACACAGACACACGTGCTTAACTGAGTTTTTGCACACAACCGACCGGGCTGGTCAAAAAAGAGATGGCTTGGATGCTTCGGGGTGTGTGTGTGTGTGTGTGTGTGTGTGTGTGTGTGTGTGTGTGTGTATGTGTGTGTGTGTCTTTTCTTTTCTTAAAAAAATGTTTTATTATTCGATCGGAATGTAGAGGGAGGAAAAAAAAATAAGGGGAGAAAGAGAAAAAGGGATAGGAGAAAAATAGGAATGGGGGGGGGAAAAAGTGACTTCTGATCCTTTTTAGCATCATAAAAGGTAACAATCGATCCATCGGAACAAAGCTGGGAGGGACCCTGGAGGTCTTCTAGTCCAGCCCGCCCTTTTTAGGAAGACGACCCTATACCATTTCAGTCAGAAACAGAGCTGGAAGGGACCTTGGTCTGTGTGTGTGTGTGTGTGTGTGTGTGTGTGTGTGTGTGTGTAGTAGAGGGAGGAATGGGGGGGGAGAGAATTTGTCCCTTGCGCCCCCCCCTCCCCCAATTAGCACCAGTTCCTGCCCTCCCAGTTGCAACCACTGGTGGAAATCGGGGATGAGATAGGAAAGAGGGTGGAGTGGGGGGGCCTCTAAGAAGGCCGCCAACCCACCCACCCAAAAGAGAGAGAGCATCCCCTGCCCCCCCCCCCCCCCCCCGGCCGGGGGGCCGGGGCCCCCCCCCCCCCCACAAACTGGGGGGGGGGGGGTTTGTCTGACGGGTCCCCCCCCAACCTCCCCGGACCCCTGGCAGAGGGAAAAGATACAGGGATGGGAAAAATGGGGAGGGGGCTGCCGTTTAGAAGCCCCCCAAGCCAAGGGAAAAGAGAGGGGGGGGACAGAGGGGAGGAGATGGGGAAGGGCCAGAGAATTAGGGGGAGGTCGGGGGGGGATGGGGAGAGGGGGCAGATAGGGAGGATGGGGAGAGGGGGGTAGGGGAGAGATGAGGGGGTGGGGGAGGTAAAGGGAAGATGAGGGAGGGGCAGAGAAATGGGGGGGGGTTGGAGATATAGGGGGATGGGGGAGGTAGCGGGGGGGATGGGAAAACGGGGGAGAGAAATAGGGGGAGATGGAGAGAGGAAGATGAGGGAGGGGGAGAGAAATAGGGGAGGGGGAAGGGGTCGTTGCCCCCTTTCCTCCCACCGCCCCCCCACCGCACCTTGGGCTGCAGAAACTTGGGGGCCCTCCCCCAACTGGAAGGGAGCGTTGCGGGCAGGCGAGCGGCGCCCCCTCCCCTCTTCCCGCCCGGCCAGGCAGGAGGAGCACCGGGTGGTGCCCGCTCCCTCCGCCTGCCACCGCCTGGCACCGATGCGCGCCTCCCACCTGAAGCGGGGCGAGTCCTTCAGCCCTTCCTCCAAGCGCAGCGTGACCGTCATCCTGCCGGGGGGCTGCCGGGGGGCGGCGGCGGCGGCGGGTGCTCCGGTGCGGCCAGAGGCGAGGCAGTAGAAGCGGCTGGTGCTGCCGGTGGTGCTGCCGCCGCTGCGGTGCCCGCTCCGCCCCGGGGAGGAGTCGCGAGCGGCGCCCCGCCCGGCCGGGCCAGCCCCACAGAGGCGGCCGAGGGGAAGGAGGCGGCCGAGGGCGACCCCTGCCGGGCAGAAGGAGGCAGCCCTCGGAGGGCGGGGAGGGGCTCTCCTTGCACGCGCGCCGGACACGCACGCCGGCCCACAAACACTTCAAACACACAAGCGTGGAAACCCCCACACAAGCACACCAGCACACAAACACTTCAAACACACAAGCAGGGAAGCCCACCCACAAGTACACCCACAAGCACACAAACAAACACACAAATACACACACAAGAACACAAGCACAGAAACACACAACTACACAAACACACAAGCACAGAAGCCCACACACAAGTACACAACCACAGAAACACACATGCCCATAAGCACACAATCACACAAACACACACACAAGTATACAAGCACACAAGCACAGAAACACAAGCACACAAGCACACAAACACAAACGCACACAAACACACAATCACACCAGCCCAGAAACACATAAGCACACAAGCACGCAAGCACACAAGCATGCAAACACAAGCACACAAGCATACAAGCACACAAGCACAGAAACACAGAAACACACAAGCACACAAAAATAACCACACAAGCCCACACCCAAACAGGCAAACACAAGCCCACAAACACACACAAGCAAGCACAGACGCCCCGAAGCCCACAAACCCTCAACACACAAGCACACAAGCAAACGCACAAGC